CCCCCCAATTCGGAAGTGCCGGGGGGGCTCGACTCTAAGACTCCACTCGGCATTTTCGAGTTATTTACCATCAATTCAAAAGTAGCCGTAAGTCAATACGTGACAAAACGCAGGCATAGCAATACGGAAAATTTAACCCCCCTTGTCCAAAAAAATGCATTGCACTAGATCTGGGGGGTGAACTAAAATAATGCCTACGAAGCTGTCAACAGCACTCTGGCTTAATTTTTGCCTGACGACTTTAGCTTCCCCAGTACTGCTGTGCTAAAATAGAACGCCGTATAAGCCATTGACGTCGCCTTATTTCCGTCAGAGAATTTCATGGGAAAATTGAGATTAGTAATCTTAGAATTTTTCGGACGATTTTTTTCGGAATTTCGTTTAAAAAAAATCAAAAAATTTCAAGAAAACATGCATAAATTTCCTCAGAAATAATTGTTGTATCCGAGGAAATTTAAAAACTCTCGAATTTTCATACAGCGTTTTTCCTCAGTATGGCAAAGTAGCTATGATGAATGTTAAAAACTATAACTAATCGTCAAATTCAACAAGAAGAAAAGATATGAAAACGTAAAGTGCAAGAGTTAGAAATCAACTTTTTTTTAGTTTTTTCTTTCTTAAAATGCCACCTCTTGTTTGTACGGGAATGTCATTACTTTCTCTTGAAAATGCGATGGGGTCTTGGAAAAAGGCCCGTGAGGTCGGGAACCAGATATTGCTAATGGGTACAGTGAAAAAACTGACCAGGGGTAAATAGAGAATATAATTTTTGGTTTTCAACTTAAAATGCTTTCTACTTATCTGAAAAGTGTATCGTCAAAATTTTAAGCCATTAATTGTACTGGTGATGATTTTTGAAATGAATCATTTCTACAGCTAGAAATAGCGCCGTCAAACTTTAGCTGCAGTTTTATAAAATTATCTATGGAAAATTTGCTAACTTTGAAATACTCTTAAAGAAATAATTCTTTGAATTTTGTAGTATCTATCACAATCACCTCAAATGATACAGGAACCCCATAAACTGCGGTATATTTATCTCAGTTGAATTTGTTCCCACCTTCAGGGCCCTTCCACTCCATCACAAATGTCAACAAAAATTTTACCAGGTTTTCTAGGGTGCCTCTCTCATCTTATACATATAGAATTCTTGCTTTTTCATCACCTCTTCCTCACTTCACAAAATAATTCTTCTGTGAAAAGGTTTTATAAAATCCTTGCTTCTTCATTACCTTCTACTCACTTTTTCTGTACATTATCATTCATGTGAATTTGAACTTAGAAAAAGACAGATTTTGGCAAAAGATTAGGCACTTTGGACGTGAAATGAAGAATGTTTGAGTGCAAGAGGAATTCACTGAAATACGCGGAATCTGACTGAGATTTGGTGGGATCTTTATACAATAAATTGATAGGAACTGCATATTTCCGAGGCTACCTTTTTAAGTTCATCACATAAATCTCATACTTTTGCGTCTAACATACTATCGAATAAGACTTTCGGATTGAGCATTGTTTTCATGCAATATGAACAATACGAATTTTACGTCTTGTATGTTGCACATATTGCATTGTACTTAGCGTTTCTTAAGGAGTGCAAAAAGTTCCATAATGCCAATCGTTCATAGCTCTAGGGAAAAAATTATGTCTATTTCCCTAGAGAAGCCCTAGCAGGCTAATTATTGAAATTTATAAAAAAAACAACGGACAAAAAGGGCAAAGGGAAAATGGAGTGATCCTATTGGTGGAAGTAGGTAGTTGCAATGAACAAAGGTGGTAAGTGATGGACTAGCTGAGGCAACCCAAGATAGACCCAATAGTTAGCCGATCAATTTCTCCCTTAATCTGTAACCAACACCTGTTTCTACCAGCAGCATCTCATTATTTGCCTTTTGTATTCCGTCTATTAACTTCAATAATAAGCCTGCAGAGAGGGTTTCTTAATTCAGGCAATTTAACAGAGGGAAAGAATTTGACAATAGGGAACAGGCCCACATCAAGATAGAGCGGAGAGGAGGAGATTTGAAATCTAGCTCTTGAATGAAACTTATTAGAACTGGAGTCTAACGCCTATTTCCACATTTAAAATAATTCTCAACTTCGGATTTTTGACAGGAGAAACGGAAACATCAACCAACAATACCTATGTAAAAGAGATACATGCTTTGACTTCTGAATCCTCACTCGAAAAAGCTCTGGGGCTTTGTATCTACAAAAACGCCTCACAACAAGAACAAAACAGATTCATAGAATTTCTGAGCAGCTCGGAACAACTAGTATTCTGCTCTGTGAAATTTTTACCGTTCGTAACAACCTTGCGATCAAACACTATTTTCACTGTTCACAGTGTCAGTACATAGTGAGCATGCGAAAACTGGAGAGAGAAGAGGAGACAAATGTCACATCAACCTAAGAGCAAAGAACATCAATTCGCCTATTAATTACCCTACAAATTGATGTTGGATGGTGTCGTTCTCTGACATGACATGTGTCTCTTATTACCTATCCTCAGTTCTAATGACAAATGGTTCTATTTACAGTAACCAACTTTAGCTTTGGCAAGAACTTGTATTTTAATAAACGGAGTAACTCAAATTCTAAACTCTAGCAGAGAAAGAAAACAACTTACACCATTACAACAAAATAGAGAAGAGTAATCATGGTTGAGCATGGTTTGAGGAGGATTGGTGATTCAGGGTACAATAAGTTTGGAGAATCAATTGCAAATTATTAAAAAGACGTCTTAAAGCTTTTTTCGCCTCATAGGTAAGCAAATATTTCATTTTAATATTTCAGGGTACCATAGAAGATATGCTATGCATGTTATAGCATTTGATACCTCTGGTTGAATTGAACAATGAGACTTCTGTTGCACTCTGACAAGAGTCCACACCAATTCTGTTTACCCACTTCTTGCGTGCGACAGAAGATCATCTGCCTCCGCGTAAGCATTTAAAGTAACATCAGGAATCAAAATGAAACATCCTTTGACACACTCTAAAAGTATGAAAACTTATTTCACATCGATTCAGTCAACTAAACTGACTAAGCTCCGCGCAAGAGCCAGTTCCTCGTGTGTACTAATGTTAGGTAAAATTCAGTGTATATCTACATTTTTCAGTGATGCCTTCTGAATACAGGTATTTGCCTGTGGCACAGTGGTGATAAGGAGCTGATCAGAGATTCGCTTCAGTCTGAACATACGATGCGCTAACTCAAGTGATGACAAATAAGATCTCGACTGCGGCATTCCTGATCAATAAATGAAGAAAAAATCGCACTGACTTGATCTTAGAAAAAAAATTTGGCAGAATTGGTCGTTTGCTTTTCGTAATAAAAACACCGACTCCAACTTGTTGATGCATTATGCATAAGCTGTCATTTCTTGATCCTCTACCAAACCATGCTCCGACACCAGACAAAGGGAGAAACCAGCATAGGTTAGGTTACCAGTACCGAAGAGTAAGTAAACAGTCTTAGTGTGATACTTACATAAATCAATCCTGAGTAATATCTATCTTTGATGTTGTGCAGGACCGAAGCTTCGTTCAAGCACGTTAGATCGGCCATATCCTCAACTTTGTCGAACTTTGGGGGGTTCATTTTCTGGATATCATCCTTATTTACAACAATCCGTTTGCCGGTTTCCGTGATTTCCACTTCAACTTCATCACCTCTTTCGCTTTTTAGGGCCGCCGCAACGAACCCTTGCGATTCGTGAGGGACCCAAACCAACCGCTTTTGGGTCCATTCTGCTTGAGTTGCGGGATCGTTGAAAGAATTCCTATCTACGGATAAATACTTCAACTCGGGGTCCGAGGGATCCAAGTCGGCCATGGTTGCTAATTTGTTAAAACACTACAAACGATATAAAAATATAAAAACACACCACATGCACGCACTACCGACAGTATTAGACGGCTCACTTTGAAATAAATTAATTAATTTTTAATGACTAACACATCGTATCACTGAACTAGGCGCGGATGAACATCTGACTAACTTCAGAAATGTCTGTTCACCCGTCAAGCGGCTCCAGTCTCCAGCCAACGCCCGGTCTCCTTTTCGTCACGTGACCTTGCCACGTTCCCCGCTAGACCGCGCCACCTTCCCGCGGGAACGCTACAATTCAAATTTCAAAAGTAAACAACTTTGTGCGTGCGCGTCAACTTACGTCTCTCCTATTCGCTCTGAAAGATTAAAGCTAAAGCGTTTGCTAACAAGAATGGGAGAAAAAATCAGTGGTAAAGTTGATTAAATATATGTAAGGAGCACAATTAAATAACCGATTGAGGAGAAAAAACTTAAGGAGCGAAAATACCAATATACGAGATAATGAACTTGAGACTTGAGATCATGACTTCTATCACTTGGTTCAGCTTTGACAAGGTCTGCCCAGTCCAATCATTTGTTGACAAGTTACAGGACTTCCAAGTTTGGCATTATTTATTGACGCCCTTGAAAGAAACATTTCAGCCTGAACACACAGCAGAGAAATACAAAATACTGCCATGGATTGTTATGCGCCATTCATCAGTTTGCGAACATGTGTTAGTATGAGTTTATTATTATCTTATTTCAAAAATGGAAGAAAAAATATCATGCTCGCTTCTTCTCAAAGTGGATGAACGATTCTCATACAGACATAGACCCGTCTGATGATCGTTGAACGTCAAACATTCCCTAGCAAGAAATTATACTTACCTACCTGAGCGAAAATTTGACTTCACTTGGAAATCGCTATTTCAGATTCACCCATGAAAGGGCTTATCCACTTAGGAAAACTAATGGCGCACCCGTCGTTTTTTAAAAGAACCACAAATAATAAATCCTTATAGCAAAATGTAAATTCGGAAAAACTGCAAATTCAACTAAGTTTAGTAAAAGTAATTTCAACTTTTTTTAATTTCATTCTCACGACAATTTTGCGATATTTCTTAGCTTTGTCGATTACATTGGTTTTTTTTTCAAGGACTGAATGGCATCGAAAAAGTTAGGAGGAGATCATGTCTTGGGGTACCCTCTCAGGGAGGTCTTGAAGATTTGCCCTAGGAGGAGAGGGGGGCACGGAGGTCCTCTCCCGGGAAATTTTCGAACATTATCCCCCCCCCCCCCCCCNATAGGACTCAGTTTATGGTTGCCTCCATGATTAGGTATCACCTTCAGATTCTCCAATATCTTTTTGAGATTTCAAGGGGAATAAATCTCCGTACCATCCTCGGATTAACTCCTTATGAAAAGGAGAAGTTTTATTTTCCTTGTTAAATAGTCAAAAATAAAGTTACAGGACGTAGCGCACTCTCTTCCAGCACTTACTACCAACATCATTCGAGATAAAGTTAAAAAAAAAAAAAAAAAAAAAAAAAAAANAAAAAAAAAAAAAAAAAAAACTGAGAAATAGCGGCCCTCTTTCTCTCCTTGCCTGCTGTTACTGTTCAAATGTTCGCTTTGGGAGTTCTCAGGGGCCAGGCACCGGTAGACCGGGTTTTTCGGTAGACGCGGGTCTACCGAAAAATTTTCTCCATTTTGAGACTGTTGTATAGGGTCCCTCTCCCCTCCTTTCGAGGCTCTAAGTTTAAGTAAGCCCCCC